CAATTGAATGATTAAATCCGGACGCTTGCGCTTGGCATATGCTATGCCTGCGTATAATAAGCTTGTGGCATGAGTAAATAGTTAATAATGGGCGCGCACTCGCGCTTCGCTCAGATGCGCTGAGCCGTAAAGTGTATAAGCTCAAACCTTATCCGATTTGCCGATTTTTTTGTTCCTATCCGGCGGTACAAGCATTGAATCTGGTTATCCGCAGCAAGGATATGGTACTTCCGCGTCGGACGTACGCTAATTTCGACCACCTGAGTATCTTACACACTATATATATTCTCTATTATATAATGTACCACGTATATATATATACCACTATATAACATATGTTATAATCCATATACTATATTATCTTTATTATTATTCTATATTATCTTACTCTGGGCCGAAGGTGGGCATTCTTGTCAAGACGACCATTCCTTCCAGGCCTAGCCCTGTTCGGATGCTATCTGGCAATCTGGCGCGCTTAGTAATCACTATGACAGGTTGCGTTTCAGCTATATCTCGTAAGGCAAGAGGTATTTAAGACATAAGTAAACGTTTTAGTTAGAGCGATGTCCAACGCTCATTTGTGTATTATTTATCGAGCTTGGCCGTTATATATATCAGGTAAATTAGGCAAGCAGTTGAAATTCACATGTTTTGGGGTCTACTCCTCTATATTATCTTACTTCCTGTATTATATTATACTATGCTTCTGTAAATTCTGACCATTTTTGTAATGCTGTCAAATGTATCGCACAAACGCTGGCTGCGCCATGGGCGCGCTGCACTGACATTATAAATATTTTCATATAGTTACGTTTATATACATTATATTCTATATATATATATATAACATATTCTATTATATACAAGATATATATTATATGAATATATATCATATAATATTATATATATACATATATAACTATATATTTATATGTCGGTGTGCAGCGGCAGCCAGCGTTTGTTGGAGATGAGCATTTGGACAGAATTTACAGGAAATTGTCAGCAATAATAGGTGAAAGAGAGTATAGAAACATTAAGACTTTAGTAGTAGATAGATATTTATTTAGCATTATATTTTATTGAAACGCTCCAAGTGCCTGTGCACGCACCCGGTGATGTCCCCTCAATCAAACTCAATTTCCAGCATTTGTTGGCTGTTATAATTATTAATATGTTTCATTGTTATCATGATATGTTCAATTGCATATCTGTGGCCCGTTTTGATTTATTATTATATATTACTGGCAAGGTTGTAACTGAGGTACACGCAGTGACACACACTCACTCTCAGTTATCTCGTGTCGTGGAACTGGAAGCCATAGACAGCAACTACGGCCGGCCTTCTTGTTTTTCGGCAAGCAGCACCTGAGGGCAGTGCCAGTGGCTCATGCTCTGGTAACCGGACCGGGAGTTCTTTTGGCTGGCGCTCCGGCAATCCCAGAATGCATTGCAAAGTCATGGTCTCGCTCAATGCCAAGTCATGTCGTCATGCTTTTTCAATCAAAATTCCAATTTGACTTCCCTGTGCCTGTTGCAATGAACAGTTTTCCTCCAAAAACACAGGTGTAGTTCACAGTGTAATACTTCAAATGTTCATTAGCATTTTCCACTCGTTTCGGTACTATTTCCTTAGCAGCATTAATGGTCCGTGAATCTTTATGATAATACTGAACGAATGTTGCATTTTGATTGCACTGAGAAATGCTCTTTGCATGACGATGCAGTGCATTCTTGGATTGCCGGAGCACAGATTCGTGGTCCGGTTACCGGAGCACGAGCCACTTCGTTTTCGTCATTGAGGTTAATTTATTTACCCAGACTACTGAATTGCTAAAATCTCTTCCGTCTTTGAGCTCAGTGGTCCAGTGGTTAGCATGTCCAGTTTTCAGTTCAAAGACTAAGTTCAGGGTCTATAGCTAGGTAACGCTTTCAAACCTCTCAACATTAACAGTAAATTCCCCGTGGCTCAGATGATCACATAAAATAGCGGGCCTGACTCAGGTAATGAGGAGGTAAAGGAATCACTGAGGACGTAAAGCACTCTGGCAGTGCCTACCCTCGGTGTCCATATAAAGCTCAACCTGGTGTATTGCTCTGGGGATAACTATTTAATGACACCTCAACTTGATTTCTGCACAGTTAGTTAGCTACATGCAGATACACTACATTATGGCTATGTCCCATTTATGGGACACCAAGGAGTATAAGAACATGTTATAACATAACGTAATATGACATGACTTGAAATACTGTCACATAACATAAGATAATGTAACATTAAATAACATAAAATAACACAACATAACAACACAGCATAGCATAGAATAGCGTTTGACGTACCATAACATTCTAGGGATAATGTGTCAGTGAGTCTATGCAGCAAGAAATTTGTCAAAATTCAATTATTGTGATCATTATTATTGTGCAGTATATATATTTAAATTGCCAGTGTTATAATCTTATGCTCGTATATAAAATTATATAGGTTTCAGATTCATATCGCTGGCTTGAAGATCCAGACTCAGAAGAGACCAAGGCATTTGTGGATGCTCAAAATGAAATAGCAATACCATACCTTGAGAAATGCAAGAATCGGCAAGATTTGCAGAAAAGGTAGCTAATGCTAATATCATTTAATGCATGGTCTAAAGTTCAATGTGAAGTTAGTGACATTACGTAACTTGTGGCGCTTATTTAAACTGTGTTGTATGTATAAACAGGATGTCATTGCACTAATTTCACAGGTCATTTTGTTCATGTTTTTAGATTGAAGGAGCTTTGGAACTATCCCAAGTACAGCTGTCCATTTAGGCGTGGACATCGGTACTTCTATTACCTCAATACTGGTCTACAGAACCAAAGGTGCTCTAACTCAATACTATACTTCTATCTCTATATATAGGGTAACGTTAATCATTTAGTTATTCTACACAGCAATTTTTCAATTCCGTATAAATAAGAACACAATAACAATATTTTGCATGTATATATTGCAGTATTCCTAATACATTGGGTAAATGCAATTGGTGAATTGGGTAATTACTTGTTTTGTTTCGCGTAGGTAACGCAAGTCTAATTATTTAGTTGTTTTTGCATTGAGATAAGTTACAGCATTTCATTTGCAATGAGATTAATTTTTCTTGGGAATATATATTATGCGAACGAGGCCACAACGATGTTGAAGTCACACTTGCATTTTGTTAACTTAGTCTCTACCTAATTAAGTCTTTCACTGCACATGTTCTGCCGTTCACTAACCACTAATTGTGTCTCTCCGTGGTTGCAGTGTTCTCTATGTGCAGGAGTCTATGAATGCTGAGGCAGAGGTGTTCCTGGACGCTAACACGCTATCTCATGATGGCACTGTGTCATTGCGTGGTACTGCCTTTTCTGAGGATGGCCGCTACTTTGCATATGGGCTAAGTGAGAGTGGGTCGGACTGGGTCAAAATAAAGGTAGTGTGATGTTGTGGTAGTCCTATATATATATGTATGTATATGTATATATATATATGTATGTATATTCATATATATGTAATAAGTATGCAACCTTTACTACACCAACATCTATTTAAGTCTACGTCAACATATATTTTTAACAATAACGGGCTGGTTTTTTGACTGACACGTTCAGAACGTGTTCGATATACTTCTGTTTCATTACCCGCCGTGTGATCTGGTACCTTGTCTTGTTCCCTTCGATTTGTACTCTCGGTTTTAGTTGGTTCTGCCAGGAAAAGCATCTGCGGGATGTCTCTCAAATGCACTCTATTTCTCCTAAGTTGGGTGCCATTTGGTGTGGTGACAACATAAGACCGGGCCTGGGGTTCGTTACACACTTTAGCTATCTGTGCTGGAATCCATGTGTGGGATTCTTTGTCTAGAAATCGAACGTTTTGTCCTATGAGGAGTGGTTGGAGTTCTTGATTGTTTCCAGCCGCATCATAATTCCTCCTCATTCGTTCCCTACGCTGCTCCAGGAGTTCCTGGTTCTGTGATAGTCTGTGATCGTCTGCGATCGTCTGTTATCATCTGTGATCGTCTTTGATTGTCTGTGATCGTCTGTGATCGTCTGCGATCGTCTGCGATCGTCTGCGATCATCTGTGATCGTCTGCGATCGTCTGCGATCATCTGTGATCGTCTGTTATCATCTGTGATAGTCTTTGATTGTCTGCGATCATCTGCGATCGTCTGCGATCGTCTGCGATCGTCTGCGATCGTCTGCGATCGTCTGCGATCGTCTGTGTGAGATACAACACTGTAAGTCTGCACTTATAACCCGCAGGTACATTACAATTCCATTCAGAATCGCGAACACCAGTAAATATGCATCTTATCTATACATGTATGAAGATACACACATCGCTTGATGTGTATACCGTGTGTCATTAATACACGAATGGACCTACAGCATATTAGCATATAACATACACTTCGCTTGATTTGGTCTATACCCGTCGAGTCTATTTATAGACCTGCCTATTCGCGGGTTTGATATAATATTTAGCGTGCTGCTTGCATATTATAAAAACTCTAACACACATACTAAACCGGGACCGCCCGTTTTACTGGCTATGGTATTCCGATCCTATAGGCTATATATATATATATATTAACAATACCGTTCTACTTTAACTCTTAATGTGTCTACAGTCTTTGGCTGTGCTGGCCTCGTTTTCTCCTCCGCATTGGAATATTATGACACTTGCTCTTCCAGATATGTCTTAGATGCGTCCTTTTGTCTACGGCGCGGGCGAATACGACGGCCTTTTCTTCTACTACTTGTTGCAGTCTTAGCACTTGCGGCCTTGTGCGCGTCGACTTATTGCCATGAAGGCACCGCACTTGCAGTTTTCTTAACAGTCTTAACAGCTGTGGGCTTTGTCACTGACTTGCTATTCGATCTCTCCGCTCCCTGTGTCTTTCCTGCTTTAGCGGCAGAGCTGCGCGTGATCTCCCGTCTTTTTCATTGTCGTTCGCCTGCTGTGGAATGTAGGTTGTAGTAACTCTCAAACTCGTCGAATTCAGTCTCGTATGCTGCAAGCTAGCCAGATATTTCCTCGTCCATTCTATCACGAGGGTGCATGACATCCACGACCAAAGAATGATGGACACTTTGACTGTACAGTGACTGTACGGTGGATTCGTAAACCAAACCGCTGCCACCAATGTTGTGGTATCACATCACAGCCAAACTGCTAACAGTGATTATGATTTGGTAGCCATATTTCCAGTCTTTATTTCCATATCACTCTGCCTCTGCAGCCTCATCACCTATCCATATAGTACTACCACATGACCCACAGGAATATACACTAGAAATAGCTGGGTTTTTAGCTCATCTGACATAGTCAGATGCAGCTTGTAGAATCGCTTGATCGTCCGTCCGTCCGTCCGTCCGGTCGTCCGGTCGTCCGTCAACAGTTGGGCACAAATCTTAACCGCTCGACGTACGGTCACGATATTCGGGTCGTTGGGGGGGATCGTCAAAACGAGTTGGGCTGTCGAAGCTGGGGGTCAAAGGTCAAAGGTCAAGAGGTGTAAAAGAAGGGGGAACATTCACTCCTTAACTTAAGGTATAGGGAGGAAATGCAGAATTGCGGCACAAATCTAAACGGCTCGACCTAGGCTCGTGATAGTCGGTGTATAGCATCATGGTAGGAAAAGCCATCACTGTGCCGAAATTGGAGGTCACAGGTCAAAGGTCAATGGGCACAGGGCAGATTTTAGACATTTTCTGAGGACATGGTCTGACGGAGCGATTGAAAAACTTTTTTGTTTCAGCGGTGACCTAGCATTTTTATGGCATTATTGAAAGGACCATGAAATCTACTTTCTGCTGACATGCGAAGAGTAAGTGTCAGATAACCTTTTGACCCTCAAGAGGAGGGTTAAACATGGATTTGTTGACTGTCTGTTAGAAAGAATTTGACTGCCGGGTTTGCTAGTAGAATCTATACATGCCTGGATGTATGAGGCTACAATGTCACAGTGAAATTTCAAAAGCTAAATTTGGTTAAAGAAGGTTTATGCTCCTTAAATCGTATAATTTATATGGCATTCTGTACTGTCAGTATGTTACATGTAACGTATGCCACTGCCAGTGGCTACTGCCAGTGCATGTGTTGGTGGGACTGTGGAGTTTTTGCCTTAATTGGTTACAGGTGGCAGCTCTCTATTGCGCAGCCTGTAGGCTTGCGTAGGTAAATGGATGAGTGCTTACCTATTCTGTCTTGCAGATAGTTGTTGCTACTACGTATGATGGGAGCTTCCATCTTTAATCTGAAGACACTTAAACGTACGCGCCATCTCGTGGCAACTTTCATAACGATCCCAACGAACATTCTTTTGAGAAGGTTCCTGATACCATCCCTGTGCATTCCACTGTTTCGGCGTGTATGTGAACACATTTGGGACTAACAAGGTTTACTAGAATCCCACCACTCCACCACAGAGTCACCGCAGTAGACGTTAGATGAGCGCTGTCGCTCTGCGGCACTTGTTTTCCTCCTAGTTCTTCATGATATTTTATTTTTCAATTATCCAAGCGTTACAATTGAAATGTATATGGTTAAAGATACATCAGGAGTGTATAATAAACAGAATATCTAGTATGTACAATTGAATATGTGAGCGTGTGTGCTTATGTGTGCGCTTATAGAGGTGTGTAAATGTAGTGTTTGCATTGTGCTAGTCTATATGTTTTATATTGCAGTTTATGGATGTTGAAAATAGGAAGGAGCTTCCAGATACTTTGCATTATGTGAAGTTCTCAAGCATGGCATGGACCCATGATAACAAAGGTCTATTCTACAATGTAGGTAGATATATTCTCATATATTAGGTGTGATTAGATATATGCATACGTACGTGTGTCTGTAAATGGATGCAAGCATGTGTGTGTGCATGCGTGCGTGCGTGTATGCATGCATGTATGTGTGTGTGCATATGTGATGTGCAATTGCGTATGTGATTGTGCATGTGTGATGCGAGCGTGCTTGCGTGGTTATTATCCCCTTTGTGTATAATTAGATATCAGCCCTCAGTCAAATGTTGTGATAACATAATCCTCATTTTGTATAAACAAGTTTTAATGTAAATTCGACCTCAAGTCTGGACTTTTGGTGTATAAAAGTCAAAAAGTCAGATAGTATTAATTTAGACTTTAGCCGTACACATGCAAGAAGTGAGAACACAATATAATTGTTCTCTTCTAGCGCTACCCTAAACTCGACAACAAGGGCGATGGTACAGAGACGGATTCGAACGTTAACCAGCAGCTGTACTATCACAGGATTGGTACGGAGCAGGAAGCAGATCCACTATGCATGGAGTGGCCCAGCGAGCCAAAGTGGATGACGTAAGTACAATTCAGTGACCCTACAAGACGTAATTCAGAATAGATAATAGACCTATCTGCCTGCCAGTCAATGTTGTAATAGAATGTTTTAAAAACAAACCTTAGCAACGACGTGTGCATGCACAATGCGTGTAATTAATTATCCCACGTTAAGATTCGTTGTGCACGTGCGATGCCTCGCTATGTGTATTGTGCACGGAAGCGGTGAGAGCGTTTTCACGGTTTCAGGGGCGCTGAGGTGAGCCACTGCGGTCGTTACGTCGTCGTCACGGTGAGACGAGGCTGCGATCCCGTCAACATGCTCTACTACACCGACCTACAGGGTCTCACCGACGGCATCACCGGTACGTGCTCGGCGCAAAACTGCGCGATTTCGCATCGGTGTCTGAGCTACGTTCCGCCCGTAGTGAGTTTATACTACTGTCGCCTATACTGTAGTTTGTACGAGTCTATTCACAAGTGGGTCGATTGTCTTGTTTGATGTGTTAGTAGCTAGACGTCGTTGATCTTCTAGGAAAGAGTTCAGTCTCTTTGTTTTGCCCACATGCTGGTGTTGCCACGGATAACGAGAAAGTGTTTGATGTATCACTTGTCAGAGGGAAAACTGTGTCTAGTTGGTGGAGCTCGTTGTCTAAGCTGGTTTAGGAGAGTAAAATATCTTCAGCTGATCCTGCACGTATTGAAATGTGTATACAGCAAAAATGGGATAAAAGCTATTTGGGAAAATGTTTGATTCCAGGTATGCTGCCATTGGTTACTGTAGTGGATAACTTTGATGCTGAATATGAGGTTAGTATATGATCTTTGTGAAGTTTTTATTGAAATTTAACAATGCATGTATTCTCCGTTTAACATATTACAACTTTTGGTAAGTTACTGTTTAACTGCAGTCATGGCATGCTACAGCTACATATAAACTGTCACTAGTGGTATATTGTATAATGATATAAGCGTATGTCTTCTTTGAATAATATCTTCTATTGTTTGCTTATAGTACATCACAAATGAAGGCACAGTATGCACTTTCAAGACCAATTTGAAATCTCCAAACTATAAGTTGATAAACATCGATTTCAACAACTTAGGAATGGTATGTCTGCACATTTATTAATTAACTTTCAAACATGAATAATGACTTGAATAACATACTGGTGCATGGCCTGTGAATACAGTAGATACGTAATCTGGATAAGGTTTCACATAAATTCAGGCATCTGTAAACACACAAAAATAATATAAAAAGGAATACATAACAATAAAATAAAATAAATAAATAAAACTAACATAACTCTACAAAATATAATAAAACTGAGGTTAATGTGATGCAAGTGAAATAAAAATATTCTTTACTAGAATTATATTTATTTATCAGTGCTTTCATATTTTGCTAGGATAACTGGGTAGACCTGATACCGGAGCATAGCAATGATGTACTGGAATGGGCTACATGTGTCAATGGCAATGTCCTTGTTCTGTGTTATATTGAAGATGTCAAGGTATATCAATAGCCCTGTTATCCTTCATGTTGACTTATTGTAGCACACCATTTAATACAATTGTATCGATAATTAATACACAGATTTATTATAGATTTAGAGTGTGGTGTGACCACTCTTTTAAAACATTCTTCCTCGTGCATTACATGGGTAGATTTTATAAACGAACAAAAACATGTTTGATGCAGATTATGTTCATCATATTATCTGACTTTGTCAGTTTCAAATAATTATAGAAAGTACATAGAAAGGCAATGCACAAGGTGAATGGGAACTTCCCTGTTGCAATGTTCAATTTTTGCAGCCACAGTGGCATATTACTTTCTAATGTTGTTCCTATTTGTATAATTGATATGAGGGAATGATTATTTAGCGTGTGTAAATGTAATAAGTTAAAAATTGTCTAAATTGTTTTGTGTTTATATAGCTTAGTTCAAACTATGCTGTTGTAAACTTGTTTGTGCAGAATGCTGTCTACCTTCATGATCTAGAAACTGGCAAACAACTGAAGAAATTGCCACTGGATGTTGGTGCAGTGACAGGCTACTCTGGAAAGAAGGATCACAATGAGGTAGTAAATTATTATAGAATCATATCTTCCCCAGCATGTTCACTATAACAATTATAACATGGTGAACGTAAAAGATAACATGGCTCATCTAAAAGATAAGCCACTAGACATAAAATGTTGCCACACCTTTATTAATAGCAACTTCACATGGCATATGCATATTGCATTTTCAAATGAACGGGATCTGGAATTTGCAGGTGCAATGAGTACGTGTAATTTCCAGCGTAAGTTCCGTGAAAAAACTATTGATTCGTGCATGTGTGCGCCAGCAAAGGGTCACTAAATATAACAACTTGTTGTAAGATGACTGTTAAAAGCAGCCCAGGCAAGCTCCTACCAATCATCAATGAGTGTGGGTGTGAGACGAACTACGAATGGCTGAAAGTGCCTAAATACCAGTTACTGCCTCCTTTAAGTCTCTCGTTTCGTTGATATTTGCAGATGTTTTATTACTTCACGTCGTTTTTGACTCCTGGAACGATCTTCCACTATGACTTCTCTGAGACAAATCCAGTACCAAAGGTGAGTCAACATATATTTCTTTTACATCGTTTCAGTGTTACATGCTATATGCACTGCTTGTGCAGAAGACTTGCTCTGTGGTTTTGCTACGTTCTGCTCAAAATAATGCACATCACATGCTTACAAATAAATATGTAATTAGGAGTACAGTAAAACTATCGCCAGTTCTTTACATTGCAGTATTGTTTGCATTGTTTTTATCCCAGTCACAAAGGTGAACAGAGAAGGTTAACAGAAGATATAATTTCTATTGTGTGATGATATTCTAACTTTTTAAACTTTTTAAATTACTACGTATAATGACTCAGTTGTGACAAACTAGTTTGATTTCAAGATACACGTTAATGCTCTGTTAATTTTCCACCAACGTCTGGCAGTGCCTTAGTTAACAGTTAGCGCTGGAAATTTGCAGGTATTTCGTGAGATAGAGACGCAAGGATTTGATGCACACCAGTACGAGACAAAGCAGGTCTTCTTCCCCAGCAAGGATGGCACCAAGATTCCCATGTTCATAGTACACCGCAAGGTGGGTAAAAAAATTCCCCTTTACCCAGTGTGTCATCAAATATTACATACGTCTGGCCAGCGTTGCCTATACTCTCATCCCAAGTCCCTTGATTCACACATGTAAATCCGTCCGACATCGTTCGCTCACGGCGCGTTCGTTCATTCGTTCATTCTTGACAGGGCATCGTGCTGGACGGCTCGCATCCCGTGCTCATGTACGGCTACGGAGGCTTCAACATCGCGCTGCTTCCCTACTTCAGCGTCTCGCGCATCGTCTTCATGCAGAACCTCAGCGGCGTCTTCGCCCTCGTCAACCTGCGTGGCGGCGGGTACGTCAGCGCCCCCTACAACTTTGCGGTGGCGACGGCGGAACGGGGTCGGTCGGTCGCGGCGGTTGAGCGTGAGCGGGGTTTTTTTGGGGGGGGGTCGCCAACGTCGCGTAGAGTTTCTTCGCCGAAGCCGCACGGCACATCGCCGGAAACGTCGTGAACGGATGTGATTGTCGCGAGTCTGTGGCGTCGGGTTTTTACACAGGCCTTCACATGTAAAAGTTATGACGGTTTTAAATGGATGTTGTTATAGCTATATATTATGTTTTTCACAGTAGGCCCTGGGATCCTGGGATGCTAATTTCTTGGAGGCACATCCTGTGGTGCTGACTGGGGGCCTCCTGTTTTAAATACATGTGATTATTTACTGAATATGCAACGTAGTTCAAGCATCTCGAATTAGATAAGCACATCTATTGGCGAGCCTCCGTCATGAATTCTTTGTCCTCGATGAAGCAGTATGCATCTATCGCACACGGTGATCCAGTGTGTGAGAATTTCTTTATTAACAGAAAGAGTACGAGAATATATGTGATGTGTGCATGCGTACACGTGTGTATCCAGTCAGAGGTCCAATTGATTCCAACGCGAGAATCATGCTTTGAAGCACAGGAAAGCGAGAGTAGCCATCGCGCTTGTGCTGCATACATTGACGTTTTCTTTGTGTGATTATCTCCGCCGCCATTACTACAGGGAATATGGGGAAACCTGGCACCAGGGAGGCATGCTGGGAAACAAGCAGAACGTGTTCGATGACTTTCACGCAGCAGCGGAGCATCTGGTGGAGCAGAAATACACCACTCCCTCAAGGTTAGCCGGTGTATTCAACATTACACCTCAGAGTCGGAATGCCAGGTGTACCGTTCTCAGGCGTAGTCATACTCACTACTTGTGTTTTACAGTCTGGTAGTAATTGTGAATCACTGAGCTGTACTAATCACTTTAATCACTGTATAATCATGAGGAATTCTGGTCATTCTGGCATTTTTTGGTTTGGTTTGTGTAAATTTGGTATCAACCATGCTTATTGACAAGTTCATTTTCTCACCTCAGAATAGCTTCTTGGGCTTCTGTTTTGGTTGAATTTCTTTCAAGAAAGGTTGCAAGGAAGAACTTTGTAGGAAATAGAAATAATTAAAGTAATCATTGTTCATTTTCATCAGTCAAAGTCGAACTACTAAGTTGCATTTATGTTAATTTTACACCATGTTGGCAGCATGCAAGTTGTTTAGCTTCATTACATTGCAGGCTTTACCAATCTCTACTTGCAGGTTAACAATCATGGGTGGCTCCAATGGAGGCCTTCTCGTTGGGGCCTGTGCTAACCAGAGGCCTGAGTTGTATGGAGTTGTCATCGCTCAAGTAGGGTAGGTATTTCCAATGACACAGCTGTGCATTGGTATCCTAGCCAAAACCAACGATAATGTTGATTTTAATGTATTATCATCTATAGTTTTCAAGCAGCCATGTCGTTTTACACTAGTGAAACGATATTGATCTCTTTCAGAGTTATGGACATGCTGCGGTTTCATAAATTCACGATCGGCCACGCGTGGACCTCGGATTTCGGCAGCTCGGAGATTGAGGAGCAGTTCAAATGGCAAATAAAGTTCGTTTCACTTTGCATTTGAATTGCCATTTATAGTTTGCTGTAAGGTTTCTATAAGTGCCTCAAAATAAAATACATCACCTTTCAAAGTTGTGAAACAATAGCTGTCTGATTGTAAATCACAAATTACATATTATCATTTTGTTAACATGCCAGTACAGTTGTTCGCGCTAAGTTTATTTACACAGCTACGGTAGTACCCTATAGTATCATTTTATTCTAGGTACTCCCCATTACATAATATAGCAGTACCAAAGGATGGCATTCAGTATCCTGCTATGTTATTGTTGAGTGGCGACCACGATGATCGTGTTGTGCCCTTGCATTCTCTTAAGTACATTGCTGAGGTGCAAAAGGTTGTTGGCAAAGTTCCAAAGCAGGTTAGGATTATGTTATACTTACTATATGGGTTTGTATGTATTGATTGCAAATTATGAAGAATGTTTGCGCCGATTAATTTCAATAACATCACTGATGTGAATAAAACACTCCTGATCAATAGCAGACTAGCTTAATTGGAATGTGCAGTATAAATGTCATTTTATAGAGGTTCTCTAAACAGTAAACTGTTTTTGCTAAAAATTCAATTTAGGTGTATTTTCTTTCTGCATCATAGACGAACCCATTATTAATCAGAGTGGACACCAAGTCTGGTCATGGTGGTGGCAAGCCAACTGCCAAAACCGTAAGTAAACAAAAATAAAGACATTGCAAATGTTGTATTGACAGATGTCTTGAGTGGTTCCATAAAAAAACATTGTTGCTATACTAAGTAACTGAACTAAAATTTATGTTCTTGAGTTTAATGTAATACTGATGGATGTAAACTATCAAAATCGTGTTGTCAATCAGAAGAGTGCTGCATTGATTCATCTATTGCCTATTTCCTTGTGTCTAATGGAACTTCTCTAGTTGCTTTGCAAGTTATACAGAGATATATGCACATTTTAGCTAGTAGTTTTCCAGCTGGCCGTTTGATTGCTCCTCCTAATTACAGATCGAGGAGATGGCGGAGATCTACGCATTCATCTCAGAGAACCTGCAGCTACAATGGCACGAGTGAAGTGCAGTAGCCAGGCTGACCACAGAGCCACATGGAGGCAGGCAGCGCCACACTTGCCGTGCTTGCCGTGTGCTGAACAAGTTTACTCGATCTCAGTCAGACTCAGCATGTCTGAACATGTGTTGCATCTTTTATAGTCACAGTCTGTGTGGGTTGTACAGTTTTGTGACCATTCTCAGTTTGCGTATGAACAGATCCCAATAGCAAATGTTTGTGAAGTGACTCATTCAGACCGTAATTTATGGAAAATGGTATAAGCTAGCAAACATTTGGTAAATTTTAAACATAGAGGTTCTATACAGGCATTAGAAATTAATCAACCCAAATACGCTGTGAGGTGCTTTGCATTTTGAAGTGTGGCATGTTGATGTACTGAAATAAAGCGCACATCGTACTGCTCAGTTATTTTGTATGTTCTAGTTTTACAATAATTTTGTAACCATTGTGCAGAGCTCTCAAGTTGCAACCGTTTAAATGTGTGAGATGTGCAATCGAGCAAAGCTCTGTGCATGTGGTTTCAGGGGAATATTTGGGGAAATCTAGGTTCTGTCAGAAAGATCACAACTAGTTAACCCCCTTGAGTCTAGGATGTAATGACATTAATTTTTACATAACATTTCATGAACAAAAGGTTATAACCTTCTAATGTCATGACTATTTATGATATATATGATATATATATATATGGTGGGGGGGTAGCGTGCGTGCATGCGTGTGTGTATCTCTGCGTGCGTGCATGCACGCGTGTCAGTGTGTCTATGTGTGTGCGTGCGTGCGTGCGTGCGTGCGTGTGTGTGTTTAAGAACGTGCCCCAGAACTTAGAAGTCATGCAATCTGGTGCTTTTCAATCGTTAAACTAATATCCGTGAAATCGTAAGACTGCAATGCTTAAAAATAGGTGTCACGGCGGTGAAATCGCCATCCTGCGAATACGGATTTTGGCCAAGTTTTTCTTCCTTTTTAGCTCGTCCTGACATCGTCAAGATGAGCTATTCCTATGGGGTGTCGTCAGTCGTACGTCTGTCCGTTCGTCCGTCCGTCAACATTTGGCTATGGTCAACGATAACTCAAGAACCACTTGACCCACATGTTTCAAATTGCATATAGTTGTTACTCCTATGGGAGAGGTTTTAACGTCCTATTTTGGAGCACGCCAGTTGACCTACATTCGAGCCACGCCCACTTTTGGGCAAAAATGGAAATGGCCATAAGTCAGTTCAGATTCAATGGATTTTGCTCATTTCTGGTATGTGAATGAATGAGGACTGGCCCCAAAACATATCACACAGGTTTAGATTTTTATTATTATTATGCAAATTAGGTAGATTTTGGCAATTTCTCTATGCATTTTAGTGTCTGCCTGTGGTCAACGATAACTCAAGAACCGTTTGACCCACATGTTTCAAATTACATACAGTTGTTACTCCTATGGGAGGGATTTGAACGTCCTATTTTGGAGCACGCCAGTCCACCTACTTTTGAGCCACGCTCATTTGTTGGCAAAAATGAAAATGGCCATCTAGATTAATTCAATTTTGTTAAATTTACCTATCTACCTACCTACCTAATCATACCTACTAATATTGTAATATTGTGTTTTAGATTCTTCGTTACAGTAATTTGACTGGAATATTTTATTGTTTTTATTTGCGCGATATTCGAAAACCAAAATGGCGATCATTTAGCCGTAGCACCATCTCTCGTCAGACTTTCAGATCTGAATCATTTATTTTTGCATATATAATTAATAAGAGTATATAATGGGCTTGCTTTATATATTCCCCCTCCCTCTTCTATCACACCCAAGGTGAGCTACAGTGTCAAATTGACACTTTCATTTATATTTTGGAAATGTGTGAGAATGATAGCTTTCATTGAGGGCATAAGACATAAATCAAGCATTACTACTGCTAACTAGCACAAGTTATATTTATAAATATAAATACATTGTAGGCCTACAATATTTTTCTTCACCTTCCTCACGCACGCACGCACGCACGCACGCGTATTTTTCACGCACGCACGCACGCACGCACACGTACTACGTGGCACTGGGTGATAGCTGAAAAGATGAAACACGTTTACAAAGTATTTTAACATGAATTAAGTCACCGACATATGCTAGATATTTATATAATATTAGAAAATATAATATATTAAGATTCATTAGTAATGAGTTCGTAAATTTCTAAACGTTTATAATATTTTATAAGCTTGAGATGGCGCCACATCTGCTCCAGCAAGGTCCATGTCTAAAACATCTTTTTCGAAAATGAACTTGAAACACCAAATTTAGGGGTTCATCGAAATACTGTAGCATATATTGAGGAAAGGGAAACACGTCACTTATACACAGACACCACTGCAAATATTCATTATGGCGAGTGTTTCGTACCACATCGCAAACTTGTTGGAAAAGGTGAGGTTTGTTTATGCCGGTTGCAACAACAAGTACTGAAGTACTCAAGTAGTGAAATACAGTACATTACTACTTCACTACCAACATAGATTGAAATGATTTATATAAGTCACAGCTACGCGTATGCCTGCTGTTAGGTATTCCACTGGCCTCCCCGTAATTTGCGATTCGAATACCGCTACAAAGTATCAAGTCAAAGTCAGTATATATAATCTTTGATGGTGGATGTGATTTCTTAAATTGTTGACGGTTCTTAAATTGTTTGTTGGCAATGTCATTACATTTTGGCAGTGGCTGGAGGTACGGCAGCCGTATCTCCAATTTACGAGGCTGGGGGTACGGTAGTCCATTCGCTTTCATACAAACGAGACAAAGATGGTGGCGGACACAGGCACTTGGAGCGTTTCAATAAAATATAGGCCTAATGCTAAATAAATACGAAATCTATTTACTACGAAAGTCTTAATGTTTCTATACTCTCTTTCCTATTATTGCTGACAATTTCCTGTAAATGTCGTCCAAATGCTCATCTGCAACAAACCCTGGCTGCCACTGCACACTGACACATAAATATATAGCAGGTAGGAAAGCGTGCTGCCTAAATTCGCTCGACGCTCGCTTGATTTCACACGAATACAACACAAATATTCAACCATTCTACTCCATCTTTGTTTCTATTTGAAGAACAGTTTTTACTTGTTATAAAAACATACTGTCTGTGTTCGTAACCGAGCTGTGTCACGCGAAATCACACAAAGCCTGACGAAATTCTTGCGTTCGCTCCTGTTGCGCAGTTTATGTAAATGGCTGTCAGAATCAGGAAACACCCACCGGCGCTCTTCGTGACCTCATTTTTGCGCCGCAACGCTCCACTGGCGGCTTTGATGAGGCTCGTACGGGAGTTGGAAAGCAGCATGGTAATTTCCCAAAATGCAGTGTGCCGCCTATAGCCCTGTACTTGCAGCCATTTACATAAACTGCGCAACGGGATCAAACGCGAGAATTTCGTTCGGCTTTGTGTGATTTCGCGTGACACAGCTCGGTTACGAACACAGACAGTATGTTTTTATAACAAGTGAACACTGTTCTTCAAATAGAAACAAAGATGGAGTAGAATGGTTGAATATTTGTGTTGTATTCGTGTGAAATCAAGCGAGCGTCGAGCGAATTTTTGCAGCACGCTTTCTTACCTGCTATATATTTATTTGTCAGTGTGCAGCGGCAGCCATGGTGGCAGCCAGCGTTTGTTACAGTCTACAGATGAGCATTTGGACGGCATTTGCAGGAAATTGTTGGCAATAATAGGTGAAAGAGAGTATAGAAACATTAA